CCCGTGGTGTTCCCTGGGTACCAAAAAATACATATATTACAGATATTAATAATAAAAATATTTATATGTAAACGGTAGCTAATTCGAGCGGCGATTTTAACTAAAGAATATTAAAACAACTTCTTAAAAAAAATAATAGTCACGGCATCAATTTTTAAATAATATTTAGCTCACAACGAAATTGACCAAAACATCAAAATTGATTTCGGACCGAAAATCGTCTTCTAGCACAACTTTTTTGTTTACTGTTTTCACTCACACAAGCAAGTGAATTCTATTTTTAGATTTTTATGCTCTCAATTTTATGCGAGCGGGAAGAGAGCAATTACTGCCACCAACAAAAAAGTGGCATAGTGCAAAACCAATTTATGGCCGTTACGCATCTTATTATTCAGTGTCTTTGGTCTGACCAAACCAAAGAGTTGATAGTTCATATCAGAAAACGGCTAACAAAACCAACTAGTTTCGTGCTAGTTACGTTTGAGCCGAAATATCGAATAAATACAGCGACCAGCGCATTCAAAACACTTTTACTCGCTTATCGGAATGCCCATAAATCAGGGCTTTCTGTCGACAAGTTCTGGCGTGTTCCCGCATGGAAAATATGCAAATCGAACATAGAATCGAACATTTGTGTTAGTTTCCAAAACGTTAAAGATGATTTCCTTCGCGAGGGCAAGTCGCTAAGTGTAAAACGGGTTATTCGCCACAGCAACTCCATGTGTTTCCGTAGTGTAGCGGTTATCACGTGTGCTTCACACGCACAAGGTCCCCGGTTCGAACCCGGGCGGGAACAAGCCGATTAATTTTTTATTTTCTTTTTTTTTCATGCATTTTTGCTTGTACTTTCAATGTCAATTGACCCCACCTGCCCGCTTCTGCTGTGATATTGAGGTTTATTCGATTCGTTTTCTCCCCACCACATTAATTTTAATATCGTTTTAATGAGTCTGTGCTGGCTTTACGATCATTTCAGGTGTGCTGCATTTATAAACACGCCGACCCTCGGCACGCACCGAATTTCAACTGTTTTACGACCCGCCTGCAATGTCAGCATCCCGGGTATGACTCCAATTCCCGGGCATTTTTACGACTTCAATTTGCTGCAGCCCTTGCAGAGAACCACCCAAGTCGAAAGGTCGGTTGTCTGGAAATAGGATTGCGTTCCATTAAAGAAAGTGCTGTTATGGGCTAAATATGTTGCAGCATGGAGTTTTATGTCTTTCGTTGACAAAGCATGTGCTATTATCATTGCTTTGAACTTGGCAGCGAAACAAGCAGATGGAAGTGGGTCGAGGATGACTTTCCCTATGCACTCTTCCATATGCACTCTGCACTTTTTATGGCTTTTAATAAATTACATATATCGAGGCTAACTGATCAGAACATCTTGATATAGAAATATTTCTGTATTAATAAGAAATTATTTAAAAATCTAAGTTCTAATGAAACGCTCTCACATTTTTCCATTAAATCGACTAAAAGCTTATGCTGAAAGCTTTCTGCTCAAACATAAAGGGCTTACCGCTGCAAGCACTCAGGTACATTGTACGACATACAGTGTCCATCAGGGGATGTAGCTCAGATGGTAGAGCGCTCGCTTAGCATGTGAGAGGTACGGGGATCGATGCCCCGCATCTCCAGGTTGATTTTTTCACAATTTTTTTTTTTCTTCGAAACAGGAACATTAGCATAAGCCACTTGGCAGTTTGATGCACATGCTCTCCCATCATAGTCGACATTGTGTCAAATTATTTAGTAAATAGAATATCATGCCGGTTACAACTCCATTTCACACGCTTTTCCAAACGACTGGTCGAACCGGCTTGTTATGCAATCGCTCAGTGACTTTGGCTTCCCCATTTCCACTTCCCGGCAGACGTCGCAGCTAATCCAATTAAGCGTACTCGTACTCTTACTCATCATATTCACGCAATGCAGGCCGTGAACTAGAAATGCAGCTAAACCGGACTCTGCAGAGGGTGGCATGCGCGGTGACCAACGGGCAAGGCGAAGATTCTGACGTTTCCGTCATGTCCGGATGATTGAAATCTGTTTAATTGAATTCAACTGTGGAATGCGTTTTTGCCCCTTCGTTCGCCCGCCTTGGGTAATCAAAATCTCTGTATGAGCGGATTGGAAATCTTCCCTTTTTTAAAGGTGCTGATTATATCTGTGTGCATTAATCCAGGTTACCGAATCAAAGGAGGTTTCTGAAGTTGAGACATATTCCTATTTCATTATAATATTTCTGGGAATCATTAATAGATTTTGTGCGGACTGGCGTATTATTAGCACTGATGTGATTTTCAGATTGGGGCTTAGGTCACGCGTAACTATTCTAATAATATAGGGTCGTAAATCCTATACTGTACGTAATGAAAAATGTATTTGTTTATGAATGTTATTTCTATCAACAACTACTACATTCCACTGGGATACTTGCTTTCAAAATCCATTAAATACATACTTTATTTCTGATTTCTGGAAATGTTTTTTTAACCACCTCATAACGTTATTACTCTAAATTACGTAATGGGTATTACGAGTTCGCTCGTAAAGGAACTTAGTTTAGATGTTATTTCTGCGCTGTAGTCCACTTGGGATGACATTGAACATTTGCTCGAACTAACTCAGTGGTGCGAATTCGTGTGGGTGCTCATTAATAAATCTATCTAATCTGCCACTTGAATTTGCCGCCGCCAATTGGCACTCGCATGGCGATGGCAATGGCGTTGAGCAGGTGCAGTTGATCGAGTTGGGCATGCCCACACTAAATCTGAACGCCGTGAGTCACCACTGGTGATTGGAATGACCGTATGACACGTAGACCCGAAAATCGTTAAGATGTATCTGCAATCTGCCATAGTTAAATGCCATTTTGGATGTGCGGCTTGTGCTTATCAGCCAAACAGAAATTATAACAAGAGCAAGAAACGGGAAATTTTAGCAAACCGAAGTCTAGATACTCTCGCACTAGATTGTGAACTCATAAACTCGAAAAAATTGCCACAGAAACATAATTTATTTTATAGTTTATGGAATAATATTTTTAGAATTATATTTAATTTTTATTTTATTTTTATTTTATTTTTATTTTATTTTTAAATTAGAAAAATAAATAAATATTACTGGCTAATTGAATGCCTATTTAAGCTATTTCTAGTTAGAGAATAACGCATATTTTTAATAATGTGCAGTTCATATGCATCATTATATCATTATACGATTCACTCAAGAAACAAATCTATAAATCTATTCTTAAGCCCATTTGCTTTGCTATATATTTGCATCCGCCGTTGGATAAATAGATAAATAGTAATCTCAACTGGTAACAAGGCTGGCAGCCCTTAAAAACAGAGCAGTATAAGTCTGTGGGGCATTCGCCAGATAGAAATTATAGCGGTCGTAAGCTGATGACGCCAAAAGCGAAAGGTAAACAAACGCGGCCAGCAATTGTGCGATTTGAGTCCCATCCCAAGCAATTTAAGGCTCTCCGATCGAACACTTTTAATCGAGCGACTAATTAACGCTCTCAGACAGCTGACTTAGTACGTAGCCAACGATGATATGATAATGATAGTGGCGATCATCGCCGCGGCAGCTGATAGGCCCGGAAGTGGCTCTTTATGCTTACGTTGGCTCCACTACTTTCCATGGCGATCCACTTTATGTTGCCAAGAGAACTTGGACAGTCGACTCGGCTGGTTTGTTTTGGTTTGGATGGCGGCTCTCTTTATTTTTTCAGATCGGCATCGCGGGTGTTTTTCACTTTTTTTGATTTCCATTTCTTTTTTTTGGCTGCTGTGGGGGCTGGTTCGCCTCGTGTTTCGCCTATTCAGGCGAAAAATTCAGCAGCGTTTGAATGAACGCGAATGCGGGAACATGACCGACCGCGAGCAGCAGCAATTCGCCATTTCAAGGCCTACGTGACTTGTCTCACACAGGGAAGTCGGAACGATTCGAACTGGGTAATGCCACTACGGCGCACGGCGCACGGGGGGCACATGGGTGCGAGTGGGTCTCCTCGCCGTAATCCGAGCGCAGCTAGCTCCACTTTGTTCTATCATCCATTTACGGGGTAGCAGTGCAATGGGAGCTTTCTGGCACGTGCCGCAGCCTCTAAACTGAGCCAGTTTCGTGTAGCAAAACCTTCATATTGGGCAAAAGGTACAAGTCTCCGTATGGAAAACCTACGTTAATTAAAACTAGCCCGCCTAGCTCTGAATCATGGAGTCTTGGCTGTATCTTTGAGATACAGCCCCCTCTGTTCCCGCGATCTCTCGCTTTCTAGCTGTCCATCTGACTAGGTTCTAGTCGCAACCACATGATCCATTCGTTATACGCTCTCAGCACGTGCTGGGCACTTCTAGAAGAGGTCTTTGACTGTAGTCAGCTGATATCAGCACATTGCAGACTTTCAGATTTCAGTTCTATCTGCGCACCTATACAATCGAAGAATCCCTCAATGCAGAGAGTTCTAAATCAGCATAAAGATATTGCCCCACCAGACAATAAATAATGAGATAACATGGTGCTGAATTAGTTTTAGCATATTTTAGTTTATTTACAGCACGCTTAGCCTAGTGCTCTTGTGTTCTCTTATCAGTCTTAAACGATAAATACGAAAATACTTAGTGCTATTTGTAGTTTTAAAAGTATAGATCAGGAACTTTAGCTTTGTTGTGTGGATCGGTGGTCCGTTCGATGGTTTCGCTGGGTCGAAGGATCTGCACTCACAGGATGGCTCTTTTTCGGAGCAAAACCAGGACGATTAGCTGCAGGCACAGGCTGTAAAGGGCACAAGATATTATAGGGGCTTCGAGCTATGGATTTTTACGGAGGATATGTAAACTGCACTACAGAAACCATGCCAAAAAATGAGTGAATTGGAATAATTTGTTGAGCTTAACTCAGGCAACGTGCAAATGCTAAAGGTAATTAAATTCCATGCAGAAACCCAATTTTATTGGTCAATAACCTTAGTACTACGTCTCCATACCATATCGACTAAAACACACTCGCATTTGATATTAATGTATTTTTATTTAGTTTAGTTTTCGCGTTCTGCTCATGCTCTTTTCGTTGATCGTTCACTGACTTATCTGGAAAATGTTTGTTTATGCATTAAGTTATAACAAAGTTTGTTAGTCTAGCCTAAGCGTACTAATAGTAGTTTATAAATAAATATTTTTAAATAAATAAATAATCCATCATACAGCTACAACTATAATTTCACGCTTTTATCTCGTTGAATAAATTAATATTAGTGTTAGTTTCGTATGTACTGTAAATACAATCTTGCGATTTGTGAGTTTCGCTTCCCTACTTTTCGTTTATTTATTTCATAATAGTTTCGATGCTTCGTTTGCTTTATTCTTCCGCATTGCGATTTTTAGCTCGAGTGTGAAAAACTGCATTCAAATTGATTTACAAGGCTAAGGCTACGCGAGGTTCGACAGTACAGACAAAAAATGGATCTTACTTGACTAAACCTCTTATCTATTTACAGGGTATTTCCTCAACATATTCGAATTATCTCGCCGCTCTACTCGTTTTCAGTATTGGGAAGCGTTTTGCAAGGTTTCATGTTTGTATCTGGTAGACTCATCGGAGTGGTCGTTTTTTGAGTATTTTCATCGTCAACCGATCGTGAAAGTTCCGCCACAGAGACTCAAGTATTTCAATAGACTCTTTGGGTCATTCGTGTTGCGTAAGTTTAGGGCTTCGAATTAGATCTACTGATTGGATTGGATTGGATGGGATGGGCGATCGTTTATAATACATTTCGATGATAATTTACTTCAAATGGTTGGCTTGAGAGGTTCTTATTAAATACTCGAGACTCCGTTGTAATACATGATATTCATCGTCTTTAGTGGGGATCTTGGTTGGTTTTGGATCATCGCCGGGGGGACAACAGTCCGCTGCATCAAAAATACTTTAGTGAGCCACAGGCGTATGAAGAGTATGATAATCAAATATTTACACACTGGCGGATGATATACATGTTTATGGTGTTGTTCTGGTGCTGAATGTGCAGTGTAATTCGTGTCTGTTCGTGTGTGGATGTGTTGTGGAAACTTGCAATTACAATATCTTTTGCATACCCAAGACAGACTTTTTACATCGTAGGTCCTTTCCTCCCTTTTCTTTTTCTCAACTTTCGCACTGATTTCAGCTGAATTTAGCACATTTTGAACGTTTTGATTTGTTTGCAGCCCAGTGTGCAGTTTAAAATTTTGAAAAATATAAACTTATGAAAATAAAATACAACAACCAAATTAAAAGAAACCAAAGCGTACAAAATGTGTGAAATAAATTCGGTAAATACTCTATGAATTTTAAAAGCTATTAAAAAGTCCAATCAGTGTTAATGCCAAATGTAAAGTATTTTAAAAATTTGGAAAAATGTATAAGTGTTTCAAATCCGATCCGCAAAATATATTAAATTGTTATATCAATATTCAAACAAATAAATTTCGAAAATTTGAGTAAAATTTTGAAAGTCTAAGTTCGCTTGTTTGTGAGAAATAGATGAAGGGTTAGCATAGAAATTGCTCATGGGAAACTCACAAATCGTAGTAGAGCGAATCATCGCCGCCTGCTCCGCTGCGTCCTTGGGCCTCCGAGCTGGCGTCCTCGTAGCTGGTGTCCTCCAGGGATCCCCCGTCGCCCTCGGCGTCCTCCTCGCCCTGCTCCGCCGGATCAGCCAGCTCCTGCTCCTGGTCCTGGTCGTTATCCTGATCCCTCTCCTCGCCGCTGCTCATGCGCACGTTGCGCTCCACCCTATCGCTGGTTTCGCTGAGGGAAAACGCTGGCAGGGGCGAGCTGCTCTCCCAGTGGCTACTTGGCGGCGTGGCCAGGCTGGTGGCCATGGTGGTGGTGCTGCTGCTGGCGTCCAATTTCCGGTGCTTCCTCCTGCCACCGGAAATGGATTTGGCCTGCTGTTGCTGCGGCTGTTGCTGTTGCTGCAACTGTTGCTGCTGCTGCTGCTGCTTCTTGCCACCATTCTGGCGCTGCTTACCCGCCTTGTTTGGCTTCTTCTTGCCTCCGTTCTGGATGCTTCCTTTGGGTCGCTGCTGCACCGCTTTGGCCGCCTCACTCGGATTCCTCCTGGCCCCATTCTTCTTGCCACAATTGGGCGGAGCCCGCTTCTCGGCGGCAGCCTTCTCCCGCAGCTCCTTGCACCTCTTCGCCTTGGGCCCCAGTTTTCGCAGTGCCCCCGGTCCGGCTCCACCGCGCTTCTGGCAATTGTGAGTGTCCTCCTGCTCGTGCGGCCTGCACTTGGGCTTCTTCCTCTTGTTGGCCTTGCTGCCGCCTGGCCTACTACTATGGCTACTGCTAGTGCTACTGCTATTGCTACTACTATTACTGCTACTGCTACCGCTAGGGCTACTGCTAATATGGCCGCTCTCGCTTTGACTACTGTTACTAATACTACTCAGGCTGCTGATCGCAGACGGAGGAACGTAGCTGCTGCTGCTATTGCTGCTACTTCTACTACTGCCACTGCTGCTGGTGCTGCCGCCACTTGTGTTGCTGCTGCAGTGCGGCGGCCCCTTGAATCTGGCCACGTCGACCAGCTCGATCAGCGGCTTGCCCGTATCACAGAGTTGCCGCACGCCGTGCCGCACGCGATTGGCCCCAAAATTCTTGGCGATCAGCTGCTCGACCCGCTCCTGCGGCACCGTCTCCGTTATGGCGTTCGTGTAGGTGCTCAGCTTGCCCAGCGATCGGCTGGCCGGGATCTGGGTGCGCCGGGGCTGGCCGCTGCCATTCAGGGCCAGATAGAAGACCCGCCGCGCCTGGGAGTGGTACGTGGAGGAGTACGTGTTGTAGTTCTGAAGCCCCATGTTCTCGTTGAAGACGCAGTCGTCGGTGAAGTCTTTCTGCAACAGGCAAGGGCTATGATTAAATGACTTGGCTAAGCGAAAGGCAGCGGGAGTACAGGGATCTCGATATCTTTAGCTTAGTGCTTCCTTTCCAAATGAGTTTCCCTGAATTCCACACTATTTACTGGCTTAGAATTTAAATAATTAATTCAAGATCTCACTGAGGACCAGTACAAATTTCGAAACATGTTGAACACCAAATTTGCACATAACATTCAGACCTCTCAGCAAATACAATGAGATAGTAAGAGGCAGTCCTGAAGGTATTCAAACCAAAATTATACCAGCACCTTTTGGGCCACTTCAAAGGGTTCCCTGACCAACTTTCAACTTCTTCAGAATCCTAAACCCATAATAAAACTTCTTTGGGTTTGCTGCCCAGGGGCGGCGTCTGTTTCTTTTGTCCACCAGCTCCGCCGCCGAAATCAGATAATCAGATGGATCAGATGGATCCGATTAAATGCGCTCATTATCACAGGATGCGCTCTATCGGTGTTGACCATCGATTGCAGGCCCCCGACCTCGGCGGAGTACTAACCATAAACACTTCTACTTTATGGACACCTCGTGACAGGCGGACAAAAGGACCAAGCAGCCAGTTGAAAGCGGAAAATGTAAATGAAGAGCGGTGAAAGGATTTTCATTAGCGCTCAGTGGCCTTTGGGCTGCGCCGACTGGCAGACATCCTCAGATCAAATTCAATTACAAGCACTGAATTAATTCGCTTGTCAGGCAATTAAAATTGTTTCGCAAATAAATCGCCAGCCAGGCAATTCCCTGCCTGATTGCTGGCCCGCTAAAATGTCGCCGCTTAAATTTAGAAATTAATCAGGCGAAAGGCGAGCCGCAATGAGCCATCAAATGGGTGAGGGCCATGCCAGGAGTAGGGGTCGAGCCAAGTCGGGACTAGTTTTTGACATGTGTGACAACAATGTGGATGGAAACTCTTTTATGATGCGCATTTCCAGGCATTTCCCTTTATTTTTAGCCCGCCCCGACAGGCAAGTGAAAATTGGCAGCCGCCGAAGGCAATGAAGTTGTACTTGGCCAAGGGAAAACACCGCTTGGGGAGGGGAAACTGGACGAGATACCCAGAACCATTAGCTCTGCGTGGCCTCTCTATCGGAGCTTATCGCGTGGCGCCAGGCGCCCTTCCTGCCCAGAAAGGGTCAACCTGTCGTCCAGATTGCGCTGGACACCTACGAACGGAACCACTTAGGGCGCACAATCGGAGTTCCAAGAGAACCCTAGGTGACGCGTTCCGCCCGCCACTTATCGCGCCTGAACAGGACAATAACGCAGATAATGATGCAACATATTCATTTTCGACCCGGCTCGGCGGTCGACGGTCGGCGGTCGGCGGTCAATTAATACCAAACCCAAGTTTGTGGGCTCCGCGGGCGGTCCATGCCTCGCCGGAGTACAAATTATGCAAATTAATAAGCAAACCGTAATGTGAACATTTATGGCTACGACATTTTAATTGGACGAGAAGCTGACTCACGGGGCTCGCTTTCTGTTTCTGCTTTCGGACTTGGGATTGAATTTATGAATTGGCAGGCGATTTGGGCATTTTCCCCTGCTCAATTAGCCGCGGCCGCAGTCACCTGCCTCGTTTGTCACAAGGCACCAAAACACTTTGGCGAAATGGCGGAAAATCAGTCACATGCCTAGTACTCAGTCACCAGGAATAGCAGCGACGGAAAACACTAAAAACGCCACTAAATCAGGCCCCATAAATGCAGCCATTTTTGAGATCTTAGAACTCTGCTCGCCTTGCTCGCCAAAATAAACAGTCGGCCCAATATAACCGCCCACTTGACCAACATATGCGGCAAGCTATGCGGCATGCGGCGCCTTCAAAGGGCCGCCTACAAAGTGGCCGCTGGTGAAGCGCATCAATCAGCACGTATCTGAGCATCGGCGAGATACAGATACAAGAAGACACGCCTCGGCTGACAGAATTGGCACACTCGCGGCTATTTTGGACGCGGAAAGGTCAAAGTGCCTGCGGCGGCGGCGGCGGCAAGAAATGAAATTGAATAAATAAAATTAAAAAATGTCCTCCGACGGACCAATGAAACGGTCGCATGGCGCCAGACCCAAAAGGCATCCGATGATCGCGGACTACGCAACGCAGCGGGGTGAGGTGAAGGAGAAGGACATCCCAAGCCAAACCCAAACCCAAACCCGAACCCAACCGACATCAGTTGCCACTTGACGTCCTCGCCGCATAAGGACACATTCTGTGGCAAAAGGGAAGGGACTGGACAAAAGGACTCGCTTTGTGGCTGCTGATCGTGTTGCATTGTTTCTGTTCACATTTAATTTTTTATTTATTGCCCAGTCCTTCGGTTGCTCTTTCATTTATGTGAGGGTCCCTTCGTGTTTTCCGTCCACCTCAATCTTTTAACAGGCCTTTGTTTGTTTTTGTTTTGCTCAGAGGGGTGCCAACAATGGCCTAGATAGCATTTCTATATGTTTATCTTAGTAGTACCAAATGTAGCTATCCGAGAACCGCCAATTGCCGTGCGAAATCAATTTCGCGGTTCAAAGATTGCTGCAAATGTAATATATTTTTGCCACACGGATGAGCATTTCATGTCTTTCCTCTCAAAAAGCACTGAAAACTAGACTATCCTAGGCACAGATTCAAGATCTTAGAGTTGGCTACTTCAATGCTAACCCACTAATCAGCTCACTAATCAGTTCAATGTATCTAAATATCTCAAGCTTACTTACCGAGCCGTAGGGAACACCGCACGCGTCCATGCACAGATACAGGCAAGTGGCCACACTCTGCAGCTTGATGCGTCCCACATCCACCGTGGATCGCTGGAGAATCGCTGCAAGTGGAGCGGAGAAAGCACATTAATTAATTATCAATCACAGGTGGCAGCTGGGGAGACCTGATTGCGGGCTGACCCAGAATCGGGTCGCAGGTGTCAGGATGTCAAGGCGGCGAGCTCCAAAAAGGCCCCTTCAAAAGGTGGTTAATTACAAATCCGACACTTGGCAAGCCGTCCGCCCAGAAGAGCGAGTATAGCAATAAGTTAAGAGAATAAATTAAAAATAAACAGTGTAAGGAAACCCAGCTGGGAGCCCCTAAGCCACCTAAATCACAGATTCCATTGCCAGGCAAATTTGTCAACTGTACCAAATCGAAGATGCCTCGAGTGCGATTATGGCGGACATTATTTATGGCGAGTACCGCGGCAGGTTAATTGAAATTGCCTCCTTGCACTTGAGAAGCGAACATAAAAGACGCACTGCAGCCACACCAAATTCAAGTTCGGCATCGCTAAGGTCAAACCACTTGTGTGGTCCGCAGTCGAGATTCCGGAGTCCGGAGGAGAATACCGCCCGCCTCTTTGTCAGTTGGCAGTTGCCAGTTGGCAGTTGGCTGGCCAAAGTGTGTCAGCACTTTGAGGCAACGAGGCACTCGTTCAATGAACTTTATGCACTTTGTGCATAATAAACATCAATTTATAAATACGCAGCTTGTTACGGGAGCAATGGAAATTGAAATCCTAGCCAGCTGCTGCGGCAGCCAAATGGTTGCTCCTAATAAAAATTATTATTAGCAGACCGGAGGGTAAGGAAATTGCAGGGAGTCACTGAGTGGCCACTTGAACAGAGGAAATATTGACTATCACCCGATATGATAGGACTTAACTACACTTTATTGATGTGCCCGAAACAAGGCCCTTGACATAAAAATTGGCATTTCCCATTGGGAACGCATTTGGGAACGGCGGTATGCTGGTGATTTAATGTCCCGCCAAATAGTCGATTATCTCATCTCCCTGAAACTATGCCAGGGCATAAACACACGCCCAAAAATATCATAAAATATTGCCGTCAATAGGTGGGCAATTTATGGCCCACATGCTTATCCCGTATATGCAACTTTTATTGCAACTGCAACTTCGATTGCAACTTGGACTATAAACAGCCCAGCGTTTAAAAGGCATGCGTTTTTATTTACAGGGCATCAATCGCCCATCCCCCTTCAAATACGGAAATTGTAAAGTTTCAGAGAAAAGGAAAAACGCATAAATAGTGTAACCCAAACGGAAAACAAAAAGCAAGAGGCTTTAATGCCTTTGCTTACCCGATTCCCTTCCTTGCCCGATTCCGTTCCCGTTTATCTGATGGATTTACAATTTCCCTGCCACAGAAATTTCCCACCAGCACTCGGAAAAACGTATGTGTACTTCTCGAGCCTACAATCATTTCGATACGTGTACTTTACATTACATAGTTGGGAAATTTCAATTATCGCTTGATTTCATTGTTCAATTTTAAATGCAAATCGTACGAACATTTCAAAAATATTTAAGTGCTAATACCTTAAAATATATTTTTGACTTAAAAGTTTTTGTACCATCTATCTACTGCCATCTGCTGACTGTTTCATTTTATAAATAAATGGTGACTAATATATATTTTTCTCTGTTGGTAATTGTTCCATTTTTCTGGAGAATTGTGGATTTTTGAGTCCTAAAATATATACATAGATATAAAGTAAAGTAGTATAAACAAATGACATGCTAAGCGCGTCAGTTCATTTGTAAAAATCGAAGAGCCCGCAGTGGGCGGGGTTTGGTGGGGGAGGGAGGTAGAAAGAAAGAGGAGAGGGGGGATGGGGGGAGGTTGGGGAGGTTGGGGAGCCAGTGACAACCTTTCACTTTGGTGCCATGTGGTGTTGCATTTCACTTGCGTCGTGTTTGTCGTGTGTGACTTTTTCTCCGAGGCTCATTTAAAAAACGATTTGTTTTGCTCGAGTTAACAAAAGTAATTTTTCTTCTTTTTATCTTTTCGACTATACGTATGTGAGGGCGAGCATGTGTGCATTTGGACAGCGACAACTCTTAGCGTATTAAATTGTTTAAAAGAATAATTTATATTTTTGTTCTGCTGGGAAAGTTTCCTCAGCCCACGTATGTCTATCTCTTTTGCGCAATGCGCTAATTTTGTCTCTGAGAACGTCAACAACAAGCGGTGAGAGCGCAGAGGGATGGACGCTCTCCCACCTTGTGACTGAACTCTGGCCGCTCACACTGCATGTGGCGCCGTGGCTTAGTTGGTTAAAGCGCCTGTCTAGTAAACAGGAGATCGTGAGTTCGAATCTCGCCGGGGCCTAGCTTCTGGAAGCATTTATGTTTTTTGTTTTATATTTTTTTGCTTTGCTTTATTCTGAGTAGTATTTTAGTATAATTACATTTATTGGTACATCTAGCATGGAAAATTTTATTATGTGAAAATCATTGGGTTTATCACATGCGACTTAAATGTATATTGTGTTTACGATTAAAATGAATACGATAGAAATCATTATTTGTGCGCCGTTTCCCATCGAATCCATCCTTTCTCTAGCAATATTCATAGAAATCTACTCAATTTGCTCAGCTCATTATTATGTGTGTTATTGCAGGCGGAACAATAACAATACGAAGCGGCCAGAGGTGTGAATTAAGTGCATATGGATAATCAAATGATCTTTTATTGATCAATCAGCAGGCGTGTGGAAGTTCAATTAGGCGCTGAGTGCAGTTCATTGAACCAAAAATGGGAAACCCGGAGTTCGAACTCCAAAAGTTAATGTATCCAAATTCCTGGCACGCTTCTGAGCTGCTTTAAATTACCCACATATTAAGCACGTAGTCGGTCGAATGTGGGGATGGTGGGGATTGTGGGGAGAGGTCCCCAAAACCACAATAATAAAAGCGACTCCAATGGCTGTCACGCCCGGGCGATAATTAAAATGTCAAAAAATATGCCTGTCAAATCGCAGTTTCGGAAGGTGCTCGATTGAGTTATGTTGGGATTGGATGTTCTCCTTGGCATCGATGCATCGATGGATCGCTGGATCGCTGGATCGCTGGGACTCTTTGGTAACCGTTAAAGGGACAGGCGCTCAGTTTATGCAAATGAGGCCTTAATTTTCCACGAGACGACAGCAATGGTAATGTCAAAATTTATGTGCAGGCCCTCAATAAAACTTGAAGTTGACAAAGGAATGGTATAAAGTGGGATATTTAAATAAATCCATGCATATATGTATGGATTGGCATTTTATTAAATCTTTAATTATGCCTACAAAAAAGTGTGACATTTTGGCGTGACATTTTCTCAAAATTTATGATCACTTTTGTGGTTATTTAACATATTTAACATAATGTGGATGCCATACCATGAATGGTCGTAAAAATATCTCTGGGAACATCTAGCCCAGGCATTATCCGCTTTGTTTGGACCTCACCCCCGATTAGAAATCCACTACTGTGCCACGCCGTCTTTTGTGGTTTTTGGGGCTGCTTTAATTTATGGTCGTGGGCAGCGTATTTTGACAATTTGATTTGAATCGGAGGCGAGCATATCAATCAATGGCGACCTTACTGCATTCAGATGTCCCCAGATCCAGATGACAATGAAGAGTTAACAGTCGCCGTCTATTAAAGCCCAATTAGTGGCACTTAATTGAGCTGTCGTTTGGCCTGGCCATAAATCTTGCTTCATAAGACTGCCTGCACTTTCCGCCTAGATAAACGGCGATAAATCAAACCGTGGGCGGTGCGATAAGCCGATCTATTTAGCATTTGCAGGTGATTGCTTTTCCGATGGGAAAAGCTAGGCAGCTACTTAAGTGTATCTGCGAGCAGCCCGTTTCTCACCCTAAATCAGTGGTACTTCATGCTCGGCTGGAGAAATTGCAATCCATATCTATTCCGGTGCTCGCATCTCAAATTAGCACCCATCCGCGCAGCAATCGCCTGAGTGGCAAATTCAGTTCACAGTTGGCTAAACCTCGCACCCTCCGCCTCTTGGTGTCGCCTTCTTGGGCAATCGAAATGCATTTTTTGCGTTCCGGGAGGGAAAGGATATCCTGCAACCGAAAACCTTATTGGCCAATATCCGATAAAACCGAATGCGCAAAAGAATAAATTACAATCGCGCTGACAGGAGGGAGAAATGCTCACTCCAGGGGTTGTTTACCCAAAAACGCCCACTAAAATCCATTTTTCCGCACATGGCAAATCTAAATGGGAATCGCTGCAGTATCTGCGGAATGGCAAATCATAATGGAAGATATGCAATATCTCCAGGAAGAGATCTATTCAAGCTGATGGGATTTGTCACGACCACTTTGGTTTGGAATTTCTCTTCCGAGCAGCGTCATTCCACTCGTGTGGGGATTCTGGCTTTCTCCCTGGGACAAATTAGATTTATCAACGCTACCGTTTTGGGTCTAGAAGAGGCTTCATATCTATAGGCTGCCCATCTGGGCCCAATTCATTAATGAAAAATGAATGCGGCTATTGGGAATACCTTCATTTGATTAAAAAAGACTAATAACGTGTAAAGTATGGGCAGTTCCAGCTCAAAATGCATTGTCCAATCGAGTGGCCTGGCCCACCAAAGGAGAAAAAGCCGATTAGGTAAAAGTTTCCCAGTGAAAGCTTACGATATTTGAATAACATCGAAATGTGCGTTCTTACAAATTAATACAGGCTGGAAATAACAAACGAAAAATTATGTTCAAATTGTAAGCGGAAAAAAAGTTGTAAAGTGTAAAAACAAACATATGTAAAATACGCCAGAAAAAATAACTTGAGCAAGATGTTAGAAACTATAAAACGCTTTTCATGGGCCGAAAAACAAGCTCGGCCACGCCCCCAAGCCGCCCCAAAGTGCGTGACCAGTGACAGGCCAATTTCGGAGGCGCCCGCTGAGATTCCCGTCCTCCGGACCCAGTTTCCATGCCAGGTTGTGTTTTCCGCATTTTCTGAGCTGGATGTTGTGGCCGCGGCTTTTTCTTGTCCACCAAACAACCAGTTGGAGT